GTATTATAATTTCAATTCTTTTAATAAATTATATAATCTCTTGATAATTATATATTGTATATCAGTCAATTTTGCTTCGTTTGGAAATGAAACCTTTTGATTATCCCTATTGTCAAGCTCGGGATTCACTATGAAATCCCCAAATCAAATCTTACATAATTTGCCAATTATAGAAATAGTCAAAGCTTTTTTATCTATGTTATTGTAAAACGCTACGTAATAGAACGTAGTAGAACGTAATAGATAATGAACTAATAAACAGTTAAATAAACAGTTAAATACATACGTTAAAAAAAAGTTACTGCAAATTCGAATAATATAATCAAACAATCTAATAATTATTTCTGAAAAAATAGTCTAAACTTATCACAGTAAATTATTTTGACAATTTTTTTTATAACAATTTTTTTATCAATTTTTTTATCAATTTTTTTAGCAACAATTTTTTTAATCGATCTGATATGTCTCGGAAATACTTAATCAGGTAAAGTTTTTTTTCAGTAGTGCTTGACTTTTTTTTGAAATAATTCTTTTTTTAATATTTAATCTTTCTTAATATTTGTGATTTTCACATAATTAGTATTTATCTAAATTCGAATTAAATGACATCATCAACAGTAATTAATTGCAAGGTAAATTCTAGAATTGGCTGGTTAGAGATAAATTTTACTGTTCGGGATAATCTTGATCTTCTAATAAGAGTTTCATCAACTATTGTACTTATTGATTATTTTAAAAAAAAATAAAGATAGATAGATTTCGTTATTATTTTACAAATTTTTATTTATACTACTGTTCTAGATAAATAATTTTACTATTGTATAACAGTAACTCTTTCTTTTATAATTTTGGTCTGATTTACAATATCAGGTATCAAGTAAAGCATATGAATGCTGTCAAAGGAAAAATGAAATTTTGAATTTTTTGCATTCATCCTTTATTAAGTTTATGAAAAATCTGATCGGTGATACATACATATGATATGTTACTGTCAGATTTTTTTTTAACGAACTCCAAATTCGGGTAAATAATAAATATAATAAATGATAAAATTGAATGAATGAATGAATTCCCATTTTCCCTTGGTGTCACTCTTCCCTTTGTATTACTCATATCTTACTAATTTACGAAATTGATTATCATTTAGAATAAAATAGTCGGAATTATGTGAATTAATGACGCAATCCTTATTTACCGCCTTAAAGTTAGTCAAAAATTACTCATGAAATTTGATTTTTAATCCTTATCTCCTTATCTCTTTATCTCTTTTTATCCTTTTATCTCTTTATCTAATATATAATATCATTTCTTTCTATGACGTGAATCGATTTTGAATCATGAGAAAAAAAAATTGTAAAATAATATTATTAAAGTTAAAATCGAGATAGACTTGTTAGAGAGCTAGCGTGATTCATAATGATAACCAATTTCAAAAAATAAATAACCGTGATGTGACTTAATTTGATCAATTATTCCTAATGCACTAGAATTAATAAAACCGATTATTCCTATGCACTAGGCTAATAAACCAATAAATCCATTAAAGTTTCATACATAATAAAACCTATCATTTATTTCAAATTAAAATTGGTGTGGTGGTTTTTGATATACTAAAATTCCGAGTATCTAATAAAAATTTACTAATTAAGATGCATAGAATAATAGCGATAATAGTAAATTTTGTAGATTAAAGTATCTCAAAATTATTGTCTATACAACTTTTTAGTTAGAAGTATAGGAAATTTTTACTTAATAAACAATTTAATAGAATTATATACTATAACCAATCAAATAAAGATGTAACCTTTTTTGGGGTCGACTAAAAAGTGGCGTGAATTTTTCTCGTCGGGTTGATCCCGGGTTAGTCAAAAATTTTATAATTTGATTGGTTGACCTCCTTTTTTAAGACTAATTATCCGCTGACAATAAAAAATTGATTAACCCGACTCAGTCCGAACAAAATAAATTTGATGGACTAAAAATCATATGTTTTTGGATTTGGGCTTTTCAAAAGGTAGAAGATCATCACAAGACTAAAAGATTTTTTTTTTTTTTTTTTTTTTGTGTCAAATTAGTGTTTCCGGGTTACCATGGGTCACCCGTGTCGATCCTATAATAATTGAAAGTGAATTTGGCTCTAAAAGAGATACTGTGTAGTAGGAACGAAAAGTGTGTAAATCTGAAGTTGATATTATATTTCTGAGGTTTAGTGCCAAACATGTGAACCTCAGAAGACAGTACAAGAATGGACAAGTATGGATGATTGTTTCAACTTAATGCTATGGAGTATGATTAGATAATATTCAAAAAATCGTTCTGCGACCTGGTTAGATACAATCAAGTGTAGATTAAAACTATTGCACGGTTCTCAAATTTATTAGATTTAAATAGTATTTAAATACAGAAATGGAGTTACTTCCAGAACTATGCGAAATGATCATGCCATTAACCACGTGATAAATATACTCAATTTGGATTGGTATGTCGCTCAAATTTATTTATAAAAAAAAAACCGATTGAATGGTTAAAAATCGACCAATCACAGGTACTAATTACTTATTATGCGATTTTGAGTCAAATTGTGCTTCGCATATCGATATGTGCTAAAAATTGGCCCATTAAATTCGATAATTCCTGTATGCACATGAAACAGTTACACAAACGATAAATCGAAAGTTGAGTGAAGTTTTATAAAGTAATAAATTTTAAAAACCTTGACCTATATAATATTTATCAGTTTAAATTTATCAGTTTAAATAATTCTTATACAGTCAGATCTTCCTAAGTATAAGCTAAACGCACTGTATAATTTTATAAAAACACTATAATTACACCTTTAAGTGCACATCAGTAGTCTAAATGCACCCCTCGTGACCATAATGTACACATATAAATTTTTACAATATCATGTGTTACAATATGAAATTATTTTCTAATTCATTTTTTTTTTAAGAATAAAATTTTTTTAACATGGTTGACGTGATAGTTTACATGCATAAATCAAAATTATAATTTGAGACCTTAAATAAAATCTTATTTTTTTTATTGAAATCATAATACAATACAGAAGTAATACAGTAATACAGTAATATGGAGATATATTCCAAATTCTACAAAAAAAAAAAGTATCTTAAATAAAAGTAAACAAAAAGGTTGCAAAAAAGAAGTGTTAAAATTTTAGCCAAGAAAAAAATTATTTAAAAAAAAAAAACACACTTCTTTTTGATTATAGCATATATAAAATATGAAACATATATACTAACTACAGTATATAATTACTATAACTAGCTATACTAACTGGCCAAATACTGACCATATATCGTATAGCTTTACTATATACATAATAAATAACTATATAATTATATGCATTTAATTACGAATTCACGCATTTATTTGTAACTTTAATTAGAAAAAAAAGACGTTGAATGTATAAACATTACGCCATAGCTGTCCGTAAATATTCCTATCCACGTTCTGAGAACGAATTCGTAATATTATTATACCAGATAATAAATAAAGCTGTGAAACACAATCGCTAACTTTATTTTAGCGTGGCAAATAACAATATAATAATAAAATAAATAATAATTTCAAATTACTAATCTTTCTAAATAATAACTTATTATATAAACAAAGATCTTAGGAAATATTTTATTTTATTATGTACAAAAGTGGTGGTTGTGTATTTTTTTTTGATTTTGTTGTATTTTTTTTTATGTTGATAATTTTTTTTTCTTTTTTTTTACTGGCCTGTTAGTTATTACATATATATATATATTTTTACATACAATCGTAAAAATTCGAAAAAGGAAAAGAAAAAGCATATTCTAAAAAAAAAAGAAAAATTATGTAAAAAATGTTCTATATCATGAAATGTTTTTTTTTTTTTTTTGATATAATATATTCATTAAGCGATTTTGATTGAGTGATTGAGTGATTGATTGATTGATTGATTGATAAAAGGATTTATTTTAAACGGTAAAAACCGTCAACGATCAACGTTAAAAATTCTTTTTTTATTCATTCAGATTTTGCCCGAGGATATTCATGTTTGGTCTTTTCGTATTGGTCGATCTTCTTTTACGTGAAGAAATATTTTGTAAATCAATATCTTGAACGAGTGGATCAGTAGCAGCGCGTTTTAAAGGTCTTTTATCCAATGGAGGACTTATTGAAGTAGATTGAGGAAAAGAAATTTCCGTAAATTCTTGTTGTTGTTGTTGCGGAGGTGGTGGTTGTTGAAAATTAATCATAGTAGTAGTATCATCATTATTAATAATAGTAGATTGTGATGGTGATCCGTGATGAGATAAATAATGATCGTTAGGAACATCCGAGAATTGGACTGGTATCGTGGTAAATTGATGAGAAAATTGATTATGAGTAGGATATTCGATAAAAGAACCTTCATTTCCGTCGGAGTAAGTATCGATTGAACCGAAGTGAGGGTCTTGATTCAAAGAATCAGTCCAAGACATTTGATTAAAGAATTGAGTAGTGTTAGAAAGGCTAATGGACCTTGCTTGCCGATAAGATTCCATGAACTTGATAATACCATGACAATATTCATTGTCACCTTTTAATATATCTAAATCGATTTCTTTAACGAATTGATGAAATTTATTTAAAACGAAAGTGGTGGAAAGAGGAGAGGATTGGTGTAAATCATCTTGAGCTGATGAAATATTATCATAAGAGCTATAAATATCATTATCATTATTCATACTTGATTCAAATTCCAAGTTATGTTGAGGAGTACTTTTTCCGCTTTCATCACTTGTAGAACCGACAGAAGCAATTGAAGGAGTTTGAGGAGTAACATTTAAAGTTTCTAATGGATGATTATGATTATATAAAAGATGAATTTCGCAAGGATGAGATAGATTAAGTCGACTTTTTTCAAGACGAATTTTTGCTAAACATTGACAATTCGTATTTCGACTTCTTCTTTGACCGGCTTTTTGAGCATAGGTTTTTTGCATATACTTGATAGCAGCGATATCAGCGTGTCGACAATGGAAATCTTTATGATAAATAACTTTAATTCCTTTAACTTTATCAGCACGAGTAATACGAAAGACGGTTCCTGTTTTATTATGAAAAGCTGATCTCCATTCTTCGATCGCTTCAGTTGATGCGATATTTACATAAAAAGTTGAATCGAAAGCTGCGGTTGGTGCTCCTTCAATTTTTTCAAGGTCGATTTCTTTATAAGATTTTATAATATACGTATAATTATCGGGAAGGACTTGCTGTAAATATTGTGGCAATTGATCGTAGGTTCTTGGCGTCGGTCTACTAGTCGTATCGGTTCTACTTTTTAACCGATGTTGAAGACGTTTCTGTAATTCTAATCGAGATGAAAGATTATCATTGGACGACATTATTATTAAAGTATGAAACGAGAAAAAAAAAAAAAAAAAAAAAAAAGTATCTAAAAAATTTTTTTGATCGGTTATTATTTATAAGAAAGTATTTATAAAGATCAATGTATTTATAAAGATCAGAAGTCAAGAACGGTCAAACGGTCAGAAACGTTAGTTTTATTATTTATTATAATTATTAATTTTTTTTTTTTTTTTGCTCAAGACTACGAAGGGCGAAAAAAAGAAATCGCGCTGATTTCGATTATATTTATACTCAACATCAATTTAATAAATTTTCAATAACAGTTTACAGTAAAAATTACAGTAAAAATAATTAATTATATTGTTTTTAAACAATTTAGTAGTTATTACTTTAAAATCATACATAAATAAATGATAGATTGTTGAGTAATTAAATAATAATCTTTTCGTTTTTATTTAATTCTTGTATATATTTAAAGTACTGCATATACTGCGTAATTCACATATTATTATTGTTGTACATGTTTACTTTTTGAAAAAAATATATTCTGATAAGGTAAATTTTCTATAAATAAAATTTTTTAACATCGACATGGGATAGCACACTGAATTGCTTCTATTGATAGTTCATTAATTCATATAATGTGTTACTCTTTTTATTTGTTTAAAATAGATTTTCATAAGCTATTGTATTACCTTCAATACTGCAACATAATAATTTATTTTTAATACAGTAATTATTAATCACTTTTAAACGTTTACTCTTAATTATCACTTCATCACTTATATCATCCACGTGTGGCTTATTGGTTTAAAAATAACCGGATGGATATAAATGTTAAATGTATAGATTATCATTTATATATCTGTTACCGGTGTTTAATTCCGATTATCAAATCACTAGATTTATATGTGAAACTTTCTTCTTTAGGATTCGGTCTAGTAATTTCTTTGTTGAACACTCTTGCTTTCTATCTAGTTTCAGTGGCTTATTCAACCCCGCTCCCCCTAAAAAAAAAAATTATGACGACAAGCATGAATAAGCATATGTCGACCTGGCGTAGCCTTAGAATACCTCCTGAAGAGTTGAGACTAGATACTACTTTGAAATGTGGTCAAGCTTTTCGGTGGAAAGTTTCGGGCGAAAGTCAATGGTATTTTTAATAAACTTATTATTTATTATAAATTTTTTATTAATCTATTGTAAACTTTATTATTATTAATAACTATAATACACTGTATAACAATATAACTTATGCGTATAACGAACGATATATATACATCTATATACATCTATATAATCATCTATATCATTCTATATTCTATATAATTATAATATATTATGTACATATATATATATTATAAAACTGTAAATTGATAATTTTTCCTTGATTCATTATTAAGGTCCTGCGCTTTTAAAGGAAGGTTTATCACTCTGAGACAAACAGGTACATCATACATTATCTTTATGAACGGTTTTATTTTTGTACAAAGAAACAAGGTGGACTTGTATTCCTATTATATTTTAAACATTGAATGAATTACATAATAAAAGTTTAGTTGATTTTTTTCTATTTAATTTTTTTATTTTATTTTATTTTACTTTAATTTTTATTGAATGTTATTTTTAGATTCGGATATAGAATATCAATCTTATTTCCCGATAAAAAAATCTTCCGATGAAGTTAATCATGAATTTGAACTAATTGATAAATTTCTCATGGACTATTTTAATTTAAGTCCAATGATTAATTTACGTGAATGTTATGATCGCTGGAGCATGGCAGACAAACATTTCGCAAAGATAGCATGTCAATTTAAGGGTATTAGAATATTACGACAGGATCCTGTTGAAAACTTGTTCTGTTTCATTTGCTCTACTAATAATAATATTAATCGAATCTCTCAAATGGTAATTAATGATTTTTTTTTGGGACGGGTTTGTTATTTCATTCGTTTTTAATTAAGTAATTATAAGTAACTATTTTAAATCTTATTTTTATATATTTTTACTTAGATTGAAAAGTTATGTAGTAGATATGGTAATTTGGTGTATACTTTAAATGGACATGAATATTATGACTTTCCCACTTTAGACAAACTTGTTTCATCAAACGTTGAATCTGAGCTCCGCCAGTTAGGTTTCGGTTATAGGGCAAAATATATTGCCCAAACGGCTAAATATTTGACGGAGAATTATTCCGATGGAGAAAAATGGTTATATTCTTTACGCAATGTAGATTATAAAGAAGCACATTCTTCTTTGTTAAAACTTTCTGGTGTGAGTACAATTTATTTATTTATAATGTTTGTTTTAAATTCTCTCTCATTTTCATTCCTTTATTTGCTTGTTTATTACAGAATGAATTAATTAAATTTTTTTTTGTTACCCATTTTTTTATTTATTAGGTGGGACCGAAGGTTGCCGACTGTGTGGTTTGTAATTTATCTTTTTGATTCTTTTTTTTTTAATTCTTTTTTTTTTTTTTTTTTAATAATTCACTTTTTTCGGATGTTAATTTAAGTTTATTGATTATTTGTTTATTTATTTGTTTATTTAAATTATATAATCCACTATCTGACTTGATTATGTGATCTTTTCAGTGTTTAATGTCTTTAGATAAGAATAATGCAATTCCAATTGATACACATGTCTGGCAGATTGCGCAACGAGAATATGGATTTGGTTCAAAAGGCTCAAAAAGTACAAAAGGTACAAAAGGTACAAAAGGTGTGACTACAAAAACATTAACCAGTCGGTTATATGAAGAAATTGGTGACCATTTTCGGAATTTATTTGGTGATTTTAGTGGTTGGGCTCATTCGGTAAATTATTGAAATATATTTAGAATTTAAGAATCTTTTAAATTAGTAACCTAATCATTAAAAACTAAATAGGTCTTATTCACCGCTGATCTTAAAGCTTTTCAAGATAGACCATCCTCATTTACCACAATTGATACCAAAATTGATACCACAATTGATATCAAAATTGATACCACAATTGATGCCAAATTAGATGCCACAATTGATGCCAAGATTGACTCAACTTTATCTGAGAGTGATAAAATAATTGTTTCTAAGAAAAAATCTCGTTCTAAAAATATTCAAAAAGAATCAATACTCCCGAGTAACAAAAAGACTAGAAGGTTCTAATATAGTCGATAGTCTATAGTCGATAGTCGATAGTCGATAATCGTAAAGTGATTTACGTCAATTTGTAAACGTGTCAATTTGTCAATTTGTCAGTTTGTCAATTTGTTAGTAATCATTTAATAATAAAAATATAATGTTGATAATACAGTATACAGTATAATCGTAATTATTTTAATATATCACTCGTGACTTTGTCATATGTTTCATTGTATGAAAACTCGTACATCACATGAATACAAAAGTGGCGTACAAATTAAGAAATCAAAAAATCAAGAAATCACAGATTTCATCAAAAATCACATTATAAGTTGAGTGATATTTAAGTAAATGGGTAAAACCTGTTAAAGTCTAGACTTGAATTAAAAATAAATCCGGAGGCTACCGTATCTTTACTTATAACCATATTAGTAATATATTACACTGGATAATTTTCTATTTATAGCTTTTTTTTTATTTCTCCGATAGGAGGATTATCTATTATTAGAACAACCTTAAATTTCCGTGACATACTTAAAGTTACGTTAGCATAAAATTTTGCCCATAATCTACATTAATGGCGGGAGGTAAATCATTTCTTATAATGCTTTCTAGCGTGCGTTAAGGATGTACGTACAAAGTGTGTAAACCCACATTATATACATTATGTTCCGGTTGTGCACATTTTTACACATTTTTTACACATTTGTTTATCATCTATCCCCAATTTTGATTGTTTGTCAAATAAATTTAACTGATTTAGACAATGCATAACGTCACGGTGTTTTAACTTTTTTTACTTTCTGAAACACTGAACTGCCACCCGTAAACCTATAAGTACTTTGTGTACCGATTAAACTTTAAAACCCTAACTAATACCTAGTTTTCCATTTTATTTATTTTCATGTATGTCATATGCTCAAAATTTTGCCCACTTTTTATTCATTAATCCCCACATTTAAACTAATTTTAGTTTTTTTTTACAGTAATACAAAAAAAAAATAAAATTGCGAGTACATAATCAATTGCATAACTACATAAATACTTACGTACTTATGTACATAAGCTTTTGTACATACGTAACATTCTTATATTACACGTGTTAGCATTAATAGATAAACGGGTATATTTTTACATATATCAAAATTTTTTTCTTAGAGTCCATGTTAGTCCATGTAGTCCATGTGCTAAATTAATTCTCTTTATCTTACTTTTATATTTTTCTTATCATACTTATCATCATACATTTCTTTATACATCTCTTATATATTATTATGCGTATTACTTGTATTAAAAAAGATAATTAAAAAAGATACTTAAAAAAGATACGATGATAACAATTAATCATACAATTAATCATGCGTATCATAAAACGTAACGCGTGAATCATATATGATATGATTTATATATTACCAATTAATGATTAGATGATTATAGTGATGATTATACAGTAGTAAAGAGAAAAATTACACGTATTAACACACATATCATTCATTTTAAAAGATCATTATTTTTAATTATTTTAATATTATTCATTGTTAAAATTTCTGATGAATATTTATCCGTTAGTATATTCATGCATTGAATTATGTTTTCTTTTGCATTATTTATGATCTACACGTCGAATTATTATTATCTGTTATTACAATTCACGTATAACGAATAGTGCGTTTGAATTTACGCGTTTTGTTAAAAAAAAACCACCATTATTTACATTATATAACATTGTATGCATAACATTGTGTACATTATATAACATTGTATACATTATTAATGTCAATTTATAAATATTACAGGTATGTTTAAATATATACTTTATATGTATATCTGTATTTATTATTTTTCAATTAATGAGTGTGAGAGTTCCTCCCTTGTCTAGTCTTAAAGGTTAATTGAGAAAAGTGGCTTGGTTTATGTAATCATTATTTATGTATGCGTTTACGTGTGCGTGTGTGTTTTGTTTTTGTTGTTTTTATTTATATTTCTTTTATTGGTACTTTAAACAATGTATGAATAAAAATAGTAGAATATATAAATAAATAAAGCCCTACATAACTATATATACTGCATGTACTATATCTGGTATGTTAAAAATGAATTTCGGTTGATATAAACAGCATTCACCTTTTTTTTTTCTTTTCCCTTTTTTCCCTTAAAAGATTTTGTTTTTAAAGAATTTTTAATTTTAGTATAATTATTACAGTATTTGAAAATTATGTATTTTTCACAATAGTGATCCAATACCTAATACGTACGTACGTGCGTACGTGATCGAAATTCATAACAGATAACAGATAATAGATAAGACGTTTTCTTTGTTTGGTTAGTGTCAATCAGCTATCCAGGTATACATATGTACGTACGTACCAGATTTATCATTATACGTTATCGTTATCGTTATCCTTATCCTGTTATCATTATGGTTATACGGTACTTTTGAGAACACAATGTTTCACCAAAAAAAAAAAAAAAAACACTATAAAAACTGTCTTAAAACGAACGTTAATTCTGTAATATTAAACGTTAAGTAAATTAAGTGCTCATAGCATAGAGGATATTTAAACCAAAACGGTAACTTTAAATTTTTTAAAGGGTTTATAAGCATATAATTAAGGTTATTATTAAGGTTATTGTGTGATTAATTAGAAAAATAGTATCGAATTTAGACAATATCATTACTATCTAAAAATGTATTATTAGTAAATTCCGTTAATACGTATCTAAAAGCTTTATGCATAAATAAATTTTACAAATAATCCGTATGTACATACGTACATACATATGATGTGTATTTTCGTCATACACATATCAGGTATCTGATGTTTTAGCGTTAAATTTGATTGTCATATGTTCATTTCAACACAAGAATAACCAAATTAGTCAATCAAAATGAATGCTTTTACTATGAAGTTAAGGCTCAAAAAAAGATGAACAAAGAAAGCGATTGACAAACTGATGAAAAGCTATATTCATCAGCAAGTAAGAAGAATAAAAGCACCTGTAAGGAAGAAGCATACATAAAAGAAGGTAAAAATTAGTAAAGTCAATCAGATAATATTGATTTTTAACTGAATGAGCAAAATGCAAAGTTTTCAATTTAAAAAAAAATTATTGCATCGATGAAGTGGTCTTATAAAGGAAATTCTAAAGTTGTTTTTTTAAAAGTAAATATTGTAGATACTGTAAGTATTTATTTATAACGTGACGATAATGATAAATACGGTAAGTAATCAAAGATGAGCTAGCCAAATTAATTCAAAGGTGTTTTTTTTCTTAGAGATGATATACAAGAGCAATGTTACAAAATACAAATAACTATAACGATAATGTTATTCAAGCTAAAATTATTACTCCAGATAGTAAGTGATATATAAGATTACGAATGAATACTACAATCTTTTAAAAAGATATTCTAATATTATTTTAAGTTTCAGCCAATAATTTTTCTCACTTTTAGGCTTATTACTAATACTACAGTATATAGTAATATACTGTATCGGTATAATCTTTATAGTGATATTATTATATCACGTAAAGGAACCTTATAATCACTGGCTATGCAGTTTTATTTATCGCTATCACTTAAGGATAATATATATAGATATATATTGAATATATAATAATGTGTATATTAAATTATTTTATATTATATATATACTGTATATTTAAAAATTTTATTAACTAAAAATTATTCCGATCTCGTGGGCATAATGAATACAGTACAGTTTCAGGTGATTGCATAATAATAAAAAAGTATACCCTATATACTACAGTATATACTATTAAATAAGTACAATAATTATAACCAATCATTTTAAAGCCCTTATGGTGGTTTGAGAAATTCCTTATAATTATTATAATTAGAAATATGAAAATTATACATACATACGTACGTACGTATGTACGTACGTGCGTACTTACGTACTATCTGCTATCAGCTATATACTTTATACGTACAGTATATTTTACAGCATATTTACAGTATATATATATAATAATAATAAAGGGTTACTAATGTCTGCCAAGTAAATTTATAACCTAATACATAGAATACATAATTCAATTATCTGAATTCCTTTTTTGACTTTATTTAATTATATATTCACGTATGCACGTATAACTACTGTTTTATGTACTGTATCTGGTATATAAGTAAAGAGGATTTACATACTGCTTTACGTAATGCAAATCTCACATGTGACTAATTAAGGAAATATTATTATCCGTGTTACTGTAGGCACGTACGTACGTACAGTACCAGGTACGTACGTACGTGCTTGCTTACATATCAGATATCTGATATACGTACGTACGCACGTACAGTACGTGTTTGTTTAGTGTTCACACCAATATCTCTCTATTGAATAGGATTTAGGTTTTTAATATTTGGTTCACGAGACGCGAAAACTTTGAAGAAAAGAAACATTCATTTGTGCTAAATAATTATTATGCTAAATAATTATTATAAAAAGGAGAAAAAAAAAATAAACAAATAATTTTAAGAAAATTTTTTAACGTTTATTTTTTTGAGGGGTAGTGCAAAATAAACTAATTTTTTCGATTATATTATTTTTCGATTATATTATTTTTCGATTATATTATTTTTCGATTATATTATTGTTTATAAACGCTTGCAATTTATACATTATTTGAAATATTGTTTATTCCTTAAATAATGTAATAACATCTTGTATACATAATTATTGCAAAAGAATGATCATAAAAAAAAGGTTCCTCAATAAATTTTTTACCCGTTGAGTGACTCTTAATAAAATATTGTTTAAGAAAAATTTACATTCAATTCAACAAATCAAACGATTTAAAAAGATATATGTTTTCATTCTACATGCATAAATATTTACTACAAAAAAAAGTTTCTCAAAAAAGTTAAATTGTACGTACTTTTTATTTATGTAAGGATTTTATTCACTCCTAGATTAAAGGTTCTAGATTCCGATGGTAAAAATGAAATAAGGTCTAATAATGAATAATAATATGTAATATAGATACCTTTGCACTTAATGCGCAGGCTGCGCAGTACTGTATATTCAAAAATCCCATCCCTAGCGATAACATAATAAACATAATAACATAATAAAATAATAAACATAATAACATAATAAACATGATAACATAATAACATGATAACAATGCAATATAATAGAAATTATGCAAGTTAATAGAAATTTACATAGACCAAATCGTCTTAAACTTTCTGTAAATGCATCATAAAGTATTCAATGCATAAATCGTTCTCATATAATAACTATAATAACTACGTATAAACAATGTGTTTACTAATTCTGTAATTACTGTACTATCATATCATTCAAGTTAAATTTAAACAATATGAAAAATAATAACAGAAATAGTAGTAAATAATTTATATACCCTTTTTTTTTATAACAAAAATAATGCGACTGCAGCCATAATTATAGACAAAAGAGCTGCCACATTAAATAACGTATCTTCCAATGCAATATACCTTAAAGTATTCACATTTCCCAGTGACACGAAATTCGGTTTAGTTTCATTCTTACTACCATCCTTTGCCGGTGGTGGTCCATATAAAGTTTTATTAACAGTATCCGGTGATTTCCAAATTGTAAATGGTCCGGTGACTCCAAAAACTATATATACTCCACTATTAATAATCCCTTCTGTTTCCACTTTTATATAAAATAATGACATATTCTTGACCGTATCTTCCGAAATTAATGGTACCTTCCATAAAAATTCCATTCTCGGAACGTCTGCAGCTATCTGTTGTGACCATTCTGATTTAACCTTTGGTGAAACTCTAGTTCCAGCTGGTTTTGGATCATTATGTAATGTTATTTGAAAATTTGTTAATGGTGCATTCGGGTTACAATCCGCTGATTTTGACCAACGAATATATACGTTATAATATGGAACTAATATAGAGAAAGGTGGTGGTGTTTGGATATCGATACAATACATTTCATTTTCTTCCCATTTTGCGTGAATGTCAAATAATGCATTCTTATCCTTTAGACCTTTGATTTTTCCAATATCTTCTGGTATATAACCACTTTCTGGATCTTTTGGATCATATAATTGTCCAAAGTTTGGAACTAGTAACGTTGAGATTAAGATAAGTAGGATTAATGTGTTTGAAAATATCATTGCTTTTTTTTTTTTTTTGAAACCTTTTTTTTTTTTTTTTTAAATTGGTTAGTCTTATATTTTCAAGTTTTATTATGCATCATTTTTATCATTTTCATCATTCTCATCATTTAAATCGAAATATTGGTTTTCAATCAATCAATATAAATTATGGTTATTTTTTGGACGTTATTAACACGATACTGATGTGAATATCTTATTGCACAGAAAATGATAGAAAAATAAATATACATATGTTTACCCATTTCGTGAATAATAACTGATTTATTTCTAGGTTCTTGTTATACTTCTTTTTAAATTAAAGTTACATATTTATAAAGTTTAGCTTTGTTAAAATCTCAAAAAAAATTTCAATTTCTTTCATTTTTTTTTCTTTTTCCTTAGTTAGCAACTTTTATTTTTTGTTATTGTAGCAATTCTAAAAGTTAAAAATTTTATTACATTATTAAAAAAATGTAAAGACTCCGAATTATCTTGAATCTAAGATCCAGGAAATAAGCGTGAAATAAATAGTATAGAAGTATAAATTTCGGGAAAAAAAAACCTTATTGACTCTAAACCATATAAGTTGTAGTAGAATTTTAAATAAACTTGAATTATATGAGAATATTTAATTTTTATTTAAAAATGTTATTAAAAATGACTAAATCTTAAAATATATTTTTGATTGTTTACAAATTTTTTAAAAATAATAAATTCAAATATATTAATTGGAACTTTTTTTTAAAAAAACAAGATTTTAATTCTTTTTTTTTAAAAAAAAAGTCTATAAAAAAATAACATTAACGTCTCAAGTTTGGATAATAATTATTTAAAATTAAAAATGCAAATACTAAAACACCAAATAATATATAGCAGTTACTATATAACTAGGGTAATTGCCAAATTGGCAATATAATCTAGTAAATCAAACTTTAATAGAATAGGTTTGAAATTTTATTTAATTTAAAAGTTTTCAATTTAATTTTATACTAATTTTATTTTATTATTCGAAGATATTAAAAATAATCATCTTTTTTTAATCTAAATATTTTTAATACAAATTTTAATTAATTTTATAAAAGAATTATAAAACTTTAGAGCAGCAATATAATATGTTTTTAAAATCAAGCTTTTATAAAAAAATCTAATAATAATTAGAATATAAGTTTAAGAGATGTGAAATCTTAGTGAAGTGGTCTAGTCATTACCCTCTCCAAGTAGCAAGGTGTAAATCTAGAGTTCAAATTCAATAAATGATATTTTCAGAAAACAGCTTGCATTGGTTAATAATCTTTATTGGTTAGGTACTAGAGAAAACTGTAGTATAATGTGATTGCAAAGATTCTGGTTTAAGCCTATAATCTGTAAGTAGTACCATCTTGGGAAGGTACTGTATTAACTATGAGAAGTTCCAAGTAAGAAGTAATAAAAACTTTTAACAATGCTACAAAGAAGATCTAAATTTGAAAATAGTAACTAAAATTGAAAAACCAAATAGAAAAAGATTTTTAAGTGAGAAATCTACTAACCAAACCACTAAATATACACACTAGAGAAAAAGAATATATACTTTAAAAGTATGTATCAAAGGGAAAGAGTTCATAAAACATATAAAGCCTGAGCAGACTAATCCTTTCAGATTGCTAATTGGAAGTAAGAGATAAACCATTAAGGAATTCACAGAAAAAAATTCAAATTGTAGATACTAAAGTTAAAGTAAATCTTGCAAGAGCAGAGAATATATAAGAATAACTCCCAAGTACTAAATTAAGTTGCAGTGTAATATTTCTAAATTCTGATTTAGAAGTAATATAAGATACAAACTAGATTGAAAAGGTAGTAGCTGCTATATCAATCTGAGATGTAATATTATAGTTGTAACTTAGCAATCTAAGAGAAACTATATTATGAGTTGTATTCTATAAAGGTTAAAGAGTAGCAGAGTTAGATATAATGATACAAACTAGAGGCAGCTAGAGGATTTAAATAGGTAGTTTTAGTGGTATAGATATCTAATATATACAATATCAAAAGTATAATAATTAGCTATATCTTTACTAAACCAAATAGTATATATAAAAATTGTTATATATAAATGATTATCTTGATTGTAAATATAATTAATAATAGTAAAAATATACTGTTGCATCATTAACATTTTTGTACAAAAAAAAAAAAAAGAATATAAGTTTGAAATTAATAGAAGAGTTATATAATAATTTAAGTTTTTAATTATATAAGTTTTTTTATAAGGTTTAAATATTTTTGTTTAAAATTTTTAACTTTAATTACTTGGAAAAGGATATATATAGCCATGGCTACATGTAGCCATACTCAATAATTCTATAATAACTCAAATTTTTACTAAAATAATTCTGTTGTATAACTAAGTAAAAATGCTCCTCTTGCAATTTTACTATAACTTCAAACTTAACTCTAATCTAACTTAATATAAATCTAATCTTAATATTAATTAGCTGCAAAAATTTTTATAAAAAACTATATTTAATAGTATAGCTACATATAATCTATGGCTACAAATAGATTAATTTTAATTACTTAGTATATTTTTAAAATATAGTATTATAAATGATAATTTTTTTAAAATTTTTAACCTTTTGACTATTTTTGTATATAAAAACAAACTATAGTCAAAGTTATAAATATTCTACCCACTCTAACTTTTTAAAATTAAAAAATATAAGAGGTGTGGTGGCTTAGTGAAGTGGATTAGTCATCACTTTCTCCAAGTGGCAAGTCTAGAGTTTGAATCTCATGGTTGATGATTTTAAAAAATAGGCCTGTGCTATGGTAACCTGTATAAAATAATTGGATCTTGAATTGAGGATCTGTAACTTGAGTTGCACCAGGAAGTAATTTTAGAAGATTTGCTAGCATTTGTATAACTGGGAAAACCTGAAAACTACAAAGGAATACAAACCAGCTTAAAGCAGTGCAAACACTTAATAAGTCCATGATTATATAAATCTTGGGAATTGTTCTTCACAGTACAGGAAGCCAATTTGGAAAGTCCCGAGTTGGGAGTAGCAGTGATTTTTGATAGTACTACATGATGGCTAAATTTGAACTGGGGCCAAGATTGGTGAACTGAGTGACCAGGTCTTTTATTGAGAGGACACACTAGCCAAACTGCCAGGTATTATATGCACTGGAGGATAAGGGTATATGTTTCAAAAGTATGGACCAAGGAAATAGCATCCTTTAGGTACCTAAAGCCTGGGCAGACCAACTCTTCTGGGTTGCTAGCTGGAAGTAAAGGAGGGACTGATTAAGAATCTAGATAAGAAGATGGTTGGATTGGGTTTTGGGTTGTTGTGAATCTTGCAAAGGCAGGAGTACATAATGGATGACTAATTAGAAAGGTTGTGGTTCGAGATACAGATTGGATTACGACAGCATCCCAAAAGTTGGCTTGAGATACGAACCTAGTAGTGGCAACACAACAGGCACTAGTTAGGAAGAAGTTACCAAACATGCAAGTAAATACATGTGTAGAACATGTACTATACTGTTAGGTTTACTACAAGAATAAATACCTTCTGTTGTTGGCTAAAGTCTTAGCATCTTAAATAATAAATTGCCTCATAAAAAGTGACATATTAGGAGAAAACATATAGCATTAGTAAAAGCCAAAAAGTTTAATTAAATAGCTTTCTAGTTAGGCTATAGGTATGATATCTAGTGTAAAACTTCTAGCATAGCACTAATACTTTGGGCGGACTATTTAATTAGGTAATCAAAAGTTGTACATGTGACTAGTTGTACTTTCATGATACTGATGTAACATGTAGTTAATATCTTTGAATATTAACTACCCACTTGAACTAATAAAGTGCCAGAGACTATAAGTGGTCACCTTAATATAAAAAAAAAAAAAAAAATTAAAAAATATAGCTTTGAAATTTTTATAGCAAGTAGTATTATATAAATCTAGATCAGTAATTTTTTTAAAAAAATTTTTAATTACTACAACAAAAGTTAGATGAGAGTCAAACTTTTGTTAAGTTTTTTTAATAAAATAAAAAATAATAATTGAATTTAATTAGTGAATTAATTATCTGTAAAAAAAGCTTGTTGATAAAATAGGTTTGGTAAAATGTAGTATCTTCAAAGTGATTGTTGATGAATCAATATAGACCCAATTTATTTTACTTGTAATTAACTATTTATATTGTCTCTCATTATGATACATTCTATATTTTATTATTTATTTATTATTTTATTTATTACAAACTACTATATGTAGTTAAGAGCAGTGTTTGAAATTAGGTTGCAGAGTCTGTAAACTGCAACAAAATTTTAAATTCCTGCAACCAAAATCTGAAGTGCATATGCAGATTCCATATATAAATTTGCAAAATTTATCTATAAATTTCAATTAAATATTTATGTACACAATTAAATTTTTATAAATTTTTATAATCTGCAAGCCATTTTTTTAAATTAGTTGCAGCCTACAACTAATTTAAAAATTGAATTTTAGATACTGGTTAAGAGTTAATTTTGTATCAGAATTATCATGATTTGTATTGTAATCACAATATGTTAATAAATTTAGATAGTTTGTATTAGAATTAATATGATTTTTATCTAAAAAATTCTGTTACAATACTTGTTATTCTAGTAACTACAATATGTAGTTAAAGTAAGTTAGTTTGTATCAGAATTATCAGAATTTCTATTGTGAGTTGCTATTATTAATTTCATATAGTACTTAACTTGCTATTTAGATAACTACAATATTGAATTAAATTAAATTAGTTTATATTGGAATTATTATTATTTTTTATTTTGAATTATAGTAGAAAAAAATTTCTTTTATAAAATTTACTTGCTATTATTAATATCAGTTGGAATAGCAAGAGTGAGTGTTAATCCAATTTATCTCTAATGGTTAATATTAACTTGTATCAGAATTTATAATACTTGTACATATGATATAATGTTACAAAACTCTTAAACTGAGTCAGGGTTATTACTTAATAGATTAACTTTAA